CAATTTTCAGCCTAAGATAATCTGACTCAAGCAAAATTCAGAATGACTTTATATACTTAGACAAAAGAAGTCCACAAAAGCAGAACAAATTGGGGTCCTAGCTATACGAATCTCCCATGATCAGGAGGTATGTTTTAGGTTTGAAACTTCCAATATTATAATTTGTTTTCCTAACGTTTGTTATTCGTGTGTATTAGATTTGCTACCAACGACATTTTATTGTCATGATTAATAAAATTCAACAATATTTAGCGAAACCCAATAAAAAAGATTTTTGAATTAAATTTGTGTGATCCAGATAATTATAAAAAAATAACATTTGATAGTATACAAAAATACATTCCAGATTGGAGGTACTTGATTAGCACTTATTTAAATTCCTATTTTTAATTCTTCTGGAAGAGAATATTTAGACATGAGCTAAAGTAAAAAAAACAAGCTATTTGCTATAAATGTCTTAAAATGATGTTGTAGATAAAGAAAAATGGTGTTAAGTAGTGTATATTAATAATTATATACAAATGTTAATTAGTAGCAGCTTTGATTTTGTTTAGAAAACATATGAATAACATATTGTATGTTATGTGAAATTAAACCTGTGGTTTTATTCGATTACAGATTGTACAAACTGTGAAAACAAAACCAATAGTTCTACCAGATGTTGTTTGTGAATTAACATTTTTTTAAAAATTGTTTTAATCAAACATTTCAAGTTGTTTAAATGACCCAATATTTTCTGATGTTTTTATAAACAATTAGTATGCCAAAAGAATGCTAATCATAATCGTAAATCATATTCAGTTCTCCTAAGAGTGATATTTTCGTGTTCTTTCTGTTTCTTCGTCCCTGAGTTCGCTTAAGATAGTTATTTTTGAGGCACATCACCTTCAAATGACATAAAAATATATGAAGAAAATACTGATATCATGATGTGCATACGCGTAATCAAGACAACAAAAAGAAGTTCTTTAAAAGTAGAATATGACTGATTAAAAATGATTTGTTATATTTAGAAAACACAATCAAAATATGTTGATGGCACAAGATAGTTCCATCCCTTACATATTTTCAAAAAAAATGTACTAACGCTGATATGTAGTGAATGAGTGCTCATGATTTGAATTTTTAAAAAAAATAGAGTATAGGTTTGTCCCATTTGATATGTAAAATCAAAACTAGCACCAGATGACATGTGAGAAAGACAATTTTTATAAGTGTTTTAATTGAACTTTTCCATTGTTTTGTAAACAAATTTTATGAAAAAGAATGCCAATCATAATTATAAATCAATTATCTGTTGCTTTGCACTTGATAACTTGATTTTAAGTCTAAATACTTTTATATAAATTCTATTTATTGGTCTTCCTCACGTTAAGTGGGACGCGGGTCTACAAAGCCAGGAATCACGATCGTACCTATACAACGGAAGTTGGTCCGGCGGTGGTCGGACAACAAATAGCGGTCTGCCGAGCTACAGAAGTTCTCTTTCTTCGTGGTTTTACGGTGTGACGAGCAGCCCATCCACCACTCCATGATCTTTTTCTCCCTCCGGTGCGGAGCGACTCACCTTTACTCTATTTTTTACCATTGAATCCTTTGGCTAGGCCTTGAAGAAGACAACTTCTGCAAAATTATAATAAGATTTTATCAAGAAGGCAAAGAATTCTATTATGAATCTAAGAAAGAAAGATATATGAATCAAATTCGAACAACGATATGTATGAAATAATAGATAATAGATATGATATCTACCGAATCTTTACCGATTTCATATGTAAATTTCATGGTTTCTATGTTGAGAGAAATTGAATCGACATAGATATGGAAACATTGAATCTAGAGAAGGACGGAGACTTCGAAAATCAGAGAGAGGGCTGCGGTGGAATATGCATCGGTGGATCTGAGAAACCCTAAAGTTATTCCGCTGATTACATATTGCGGGTGTGATGGACTGATTGGTAAAGTAATGGATTGGGCATGACAAGTGTACTGGTCCGAATTGTTAATAATTTAGTTAAATAAATTTAAAATATATATGCAATTCATTAATATAGTAGGCCCATTAACAATTTATGATAGACTACTTTATTTGAAAATTTATATTAAAAAATATATTGCGTATAAAAGGTATTTATACGTATAAAAATTGATAATTTTCTCCATCAAATTTTTCCGAGATTTTATCGATTCACGTCCTGAAATATATCGGTATAAGATTCGAGTGACTCAAAACTATCAATCTAGCACCTAAAATTTCATAGGTTTTAATTTATTTTATTTTTTATTAACTTCATTGCTAATGTTTATTAATTTTTTTCACAAAAGTTTTTTAGTTTAATAGAGTTAAATACTAATTTACATTTTGTTAATAAAATAATAATAAATTTCATAACAAATTAGGTTACAAAATAATAATAAATTTAATAACAAATTAGGTTATAAATAATAATAAATTTCATAACAAATTAGGTTATTTCATATGATACATTTCATCTTTCAGATCCCAGATTGATATCTTATCCACATTTCAGTTCTTGAATGGATAGAATTCCATTTTTTATTAAATAAATTGTTGCTAGACTTTTTTTTCAACCCACAAGGTGTAAAACACCCATGAAATATCAACCCTCAAGGTGATGGTTCCAAGAACATTATATATGATATACTTTTTTATATCAATTTGAATTTATGTTGATATCTCATTTTAAAAAAAATTTGAAATTTTTAATTGCTATCAAGTTGAACGAGTTCATGATAGTGGTGAGTCCCAATCGACAAATGGGGATACCGTCTTGGGATCGAAGGCAAAGTCTCTCAGTGTAACACCTTCTGTGAAATACTAATGGAATTGATGAGTAATGTGTAATAATGCAAATTGAAACATACCTTCAAACTACTATTGAGATTATTTTAATTCATTTTTGTATGAAAGAGGTTCTTTTGCTAATGAAGATAGTGAAAGCCTGCAAAATACTTAGTAGTAATCATTTTACACAGATCTCTCATGGCGATGAATTCCTAAAGTCCGACTCTACATGTACTTCTTCAGATGTTAGAATTCCTTTTAATTTTTTAAGAAGACAATTTCCAATCATGGTTGCTTATGCTACAACTATAAATAAAAATAAGAGATCAGTTTCACATGTAAGTTTGTTATTAAAAACTGTTTTTTTGTCACGAACAATTATATATAGCAACTTCTAGAGTAACAAACACAAGAGAATTGAAACTTTTAATTTTAGATGATAATAATGAAAGCTCGAACAAGACTTCTAATGTCGTGTATAAAGAAGTATTTCATAATGTATTTGACTTTTATAAACCATTATCTATTGTTATAACATTTTATTACGTGTGACAATGATAACTTCTTTTGTTACAATGACATTTTTTCCTATTCTTTGTCACTTTTTTTTCTCATGTGTATTTTAATAATTATATAATAATAATTATTATTATTTGGAATTTATTATGTGACTGTTATTGCATTATACATTATTTGTCTGCGTTGTATGAAATCTTTGTGTGTACATTTATACAACATATTCCTTCATGCATTGCTCCCGCGATGCACGGATGAAATACTAGTATATTCAAAACAACCCATAATTTGTTATTGAAACCGCGTAATTAGGAAATTCAAATGATTTTTGTTTTGTGCACATTTATTCAAGAAAAAATGGCATAAGTATGACCCCTGCACTTTCAATGGACAAATATATCACCAATTTTTAAATGGACAAACATGTGACTTCTCCAAGCCCAATACCACCAGCCCGTTACTCTTCAATTGATGACCTTTCCTTCTCCTCTCCAGAGTGACTTCATCTCCCTCATCACTCCTGTGCAGCCTCCACGCCACCGCTTCCTCACCGCTGCCTCCACGTCGCCGCCTCCATCCACCGCCTCCATCTCTATAGGTAAGTCGCTTGGATTGAGTCTTCAATCTCTTCTTTTTTCTGGACGGTTAGCCTAGTAGACCGAAGATGGAATCCATGAACATCTTCATATTTCACGATGGTAAGGGCGGCGATGGAAACGGCCGATGGCCTCTGTAAATGGAGAGCGAGGATTTACCTCAAGCAATAACGAACGACGGGCAGATCTGAACCTGAGATGAACGACCACAAGCGGCGACCGGTGGGGTTGGTTGAGTGGGTGTTCGTTAGGACCTTGGGGGTGGAGTGGTGGCTAGGTTCGACGATGGACAGCGTCTATGGTTCAGCGGTGGGCAGCGGCTTGCAGGTAGAGGTGCGGCGGTTGGGGAGGAGGCTATGGTTGGGAAGGTTGGCTGAACAGGTAGTTGGCCGCTGGGAAGGGCGCTCGGGGTGGGGGCTGTGGCAGGGGAAGGGGAGGGGGTGTGGCTGGGGCTGGGTACTACGCAATGCTAGCCTGTGTCGGTGACTGTGGGAGGCAGTGGCGGCGGTGGCGGTGGGCAATTGGCTGGATGGTGGTCACTGATTTGGGGTGCTAGGGGATGGAGAGGGACAAGGCAATCTACAAGAGACCGGAGTGGCGGTTGGATGGCGGATCCGGTGGGTGGTTGGCGGCAATGTTGGATTGTGACTGTGTTGCCGGAAAAATCTTCGGCGACTACAGTGACACGATTTACGATGACAGTGACATCCGAAAGTGACACGAAAACCGATAGTGACATTAAATAGTGACATAAAAATTTGATAGTGACAAAAAAATTTGACAGTGACATCATGTTTTCCAAATATATAACCTACTTAGTCACTTTTTTGTCCTTTAAAAAAATGGTCACATTTTTGGAATTTGACTTCAATTTAGTAATATTCAAGGAAAAAGCCCTTTATTCAAACTGTGAAGGCTTTCTTGTGTATGGACAATATATTTACAAACAAAAAAATCTTTATTAGTGTGTAAATAGTAAAAAGCGTGTACACCAAGATTATGTACTTACGTGGCTAAATCTTACTGGTAGTCATGACGACCCGTACGTGGCAAACGCAACATACCATTGTCAGATTTTGAAGCGATCTAGAAACGAAAATAATCGTATCGCCGGAGGCCGGGAGCTGCGATAGATAATAGCCAACCGGAGATGCGAAGTCCGAGAATAAAGACCCTCAGCTGCGCTCTCCTACTCCTACTCCTATTCCCGATTGCTACACTCGGCCGGCAATTCGTCCTCGTCATTTCACAAGACGATCTCAAGGACCTTGGCACTGATCCTACCGCCGCCATTGAAACTGATTCCGCCGAGTCTGAATTCGATGATTTTATAGACTCCGATGCTAAACCGGACCACGAGCTCGACCCCGGTTCATGGAGTCCGATCTTCGAGTCCGGGCAGGGTCGTATAAGTCAAGACGAGCAGGAGACGGCATACTATCTATCCGCGAGGAAGATGGTAACCGCTTCCAGCCGAGGGGATGCGAGGGCTATGGAGGAGATCGGGTCGGAGATGGAGGCCATAGCCGCGGAGGGGTACCCGCACGCGCAGTCGGTGATGGGTTTTTTGTACGGTATGGGAATGGTGAGGGAGAAGAACAAAGCTAAGTCCTTGTTGTACCACCATTTTGCTGCTGAAGGAGGAAATATGCAGTCCAAAATGGCACTTGCTTATGCATACACTCGTCAAGAAGTAAGCTTGCTTCCTCGCATGTATCAATTAGTTCATATAAATCATTACAAGTGTGCCGTATGCAACCTGTGTATGTGTGTGTTCTGAGCTTTAAAACCGGTGTCATTGTGCTATGGGTTTATGAGTTAAAGTTTTAATAGCCTGAACAGTGAGGATTTATGATGCTATGTTAAGGTTTTAGCAACTTATGAAATTGATTTAATGTAGGCATCACTCTTTCCTTTTTTCTTACTCAAGATGTGTTTCTGGACATGCATGAAGATGAAGATAATGTTGATCTTGGATCAAGTGATGATTAATTTAGCGTAGAAGAGGTTGGGTTGATAAGATGTTGTGTTATTCTTTAAGTGGTTTATGCATTACGCTATTTATTGTGGATTATTGCTTTTTTGCCATATATACGAATTGTGGATTATTGTGGATTAATGTGTCCTAAACTCCTAATCGCTGCCCAGCCTTTGGCCTAGTTACTTAGAAGTCAGAATGTGAGAATTTTGTTAAGTAGGACCCTAACAAACCCTGAATTCTGATTTTCTTTTGCTGGTCTCAAATTGCTACTTGTTTCATTTGTAACTGTCTGATAGAGAACAAGGATCAGATGGTTTTGATTAACAAGCTCCAGTTGACCTCCCCAACAGCTTGTTGGATCGTAACTGTCCAATCTCGGCTGGTGCCTGAAACTAAGACAAGCTGTGGGTCCGAGTTTGGTTCTCCAAAACCTTTTTCCAAAACCTTGAAACAAGCTGTGGATCCGAGTTTGGTTCTCCAAAACCTTTTTCCATTGCCCAGTGCTGGGAGAGCATGCGAAGTATAGCTTGTTTACTGCTGCATTGCCTATTGGCAATTAGACCAGTTTCCTTTCTGATGCATGTGAGTAACTTAATTTATTAATGAATTCCATTTTCACTGTTTGCAGATGCATGACAAGGCAGTTACACTGTATGCTGAATTGGCAGAGGTAGCTATAAATAGTTTTCTAATTTCAAAGGACTCACCTGTGATTGAACCAGTTCGGATACATAGTGGTAGTGAGGAAAATAAGGAAGCATTGAGAAAGTCCAGAGGAGAAGAGGATGAGAACTTCCAAATTTTGGAATACCAGGCACAGAAAGGGAATGCAGGGGCAATGTATAGGATTGGTATATTCTACTACTTTGGATTGAGAGGAGTGAGGTGTGACCATGCCAAGGCATTATCATGGTTCTTGAAAGCTGTTGATAAGGGTGAGGCAGGATCAATGGAACTTCTTGGTGAAATTTATGTAAGAGGAGCAGGAGTTGAGAGAAATTACACCAAGGCATTAGAGTGGCTATCACTTGCTTCCAAGCAACAGCTTTATTCGGCTTATAATGGTATGGGATATCTTTACGTGAAAGGTTATGGGGTGGAAAAGAACTATACCCAGGTTAGGGTTTCTCATGTTATACTTGCATTTATTTTCCATTTTCAACCTGCCTAGTGTTTTCTCATTTAGAAAGTTACTTTTCATATTATCATGTTGCAATTTGATATGACTATTTGCAGGCAAAAGAGTATTTTGAGAAGGCTGCTGATAATGATGAGCCTGGTGGGTTCTACAACCTTGGAGTTATGTATCTGAAAGGGCTTGGGGTTAAAAGGGACTTGAAGCTGGCCGGCAAGTACTTTATAGGAGCTGCTAATGTGGGTCAGCCGAAGGCTTTTTATCAATTAGCAAAAATGTTCCATACTGGAGTGGGACTCAAAAAGAATGTTCCAATGGTAAGTCCAGTAAGTCAACTGAAATACACTCTGACCTCTTCATTGCCTTCTTCAAATCTTATGTCAGGCATCTTGCATTTTTTAAACGCATTTACAATTTCTGAATCGCATACTTCATTTCTATTCATACAACTGAATGAGTGTGGAAGAGCTTATTGGATTTGGTATATTGAACATTTGTAGAGGTTTGCGCTTCTTCTGTTGATATGAATGGCTGTCTATAGTCTATACCATGTCAATTATACATGAGTATGTTTTAGGTGCCATTTTATCACGTTTAAATTGAAACCACTGATATCTAGCCTGCATGCACATGTTTTGCACTGTACAGTGTACACTTCCTTAGGGATAGTAGTAAGAACTACTTAAATGGAGTCAACAAGTGTAATTATCATTCTTCTCTTTGTGATTTCAGGCAACTGCCTTGTACAAATTAGTTGCAGAACGTGGACCATGGAGCTCATTGTCTAGATGGGCATTAGAGTCATATTTGAAGGGAGATATAGGGAAGGCTTTTGTCCTTTACTCAAGGATGGCAGAGTTGGGCTATGAGGTCGCACAAAGTAATGCAGCATGGATTCTTGACAAATATGAATCGAGGAGTATGTGCATGGGAGCATCTGGTATTTGCACAGATGCAGAGAGGCATCAGCGAGCACATGCCTTGTGGTGGCAAGCTTCTGAGCAGGGCAATGAACACGCTGCTCTACTCATTGGTGATGCATATTATTATGGCCGGGTATGTGCGTGATTGATCTTTATGTAATATTAATTCTATCTAATCATTATTGATTATTATGCAATAGTTTGTCTAACCTCTTTTATGTGTCAATGATTTTTAACAGGGTACTGACCGAGATTATGTGCGTGCAGCAGAAGCTTATAAGCATGCCAAATCACAATCCAATGCTCAAGCCATGTTTAATCTGGGATACATGCATGAGCATGGCCAAGGATTGCCGTTTGATCTTCACCTTGCAAAGCGTTACTACGATCAAGCCGTAGATAATGATCCTGCAGCAAAGTTGCCTGTAACACTGGCTCTTGCAAGCTTATGGATAAGAACAAACTATGCTGACAGCTTCCTGGTAGTGTATCCCTTCCATTCTTTCACGGTTTTATCCTTCTGTGCCTCAAATATTTTGTTTGTGTTTTCTCCTAATCCCATAAATGAAAGATTATAGAGATAATTCTTCTTGTATTGCCTTGTCAAGATGTGTAACAGAACTAAAGTATCTTTTTGGCTTGTATATAGGTATCTGTGATTGATTCATTGCCGGATCTTTATCCAAAAATGGAAACATGGGTGGAGGATGTGCTAATGGAAGAAGGAAATGCCACAATACTTACTCTCATTGTCTGCCTGTTAACAGTGCTTTACTTACGTGAGCGTCAACGAAGGCATGCTGCTGCATTTGTTGGAGAGGCTCCTCCTCATCAGGTGGGTGAGCAGGGTGAACCCGTTCTCAACTAACTTTTACCAAAAATACCAAACATTGGTCATCTGATGTATGTGGAGATGACATTCTTCCCAGAATGGTGTACAGTAGCATGATTTCCACATCCCGTTGCTAAAGAGAGAACCGCCTTTTGTTTACCATTTGTTGTCTACTAGTGTGTATGTACTGACACTCTGACAGTCACAGGTAGGTCAGGAATCTCCTCTTAAGAGAAAAGTTGTATTTAACGCAGTCAAAAGATATCAGCGTGATATAATTGGCATCCAGTAAACATACCAAGCCTGTGCCCGTTGTTTTCAAATTATTGATTTGATAAGTTTTATTCTGTTCGGGATAAAATTATAATAGCCTTCTTAATCTGTTTCTGTGTCCATATCTCGTGGAGTCATCTGGTATGAATGAGTTTAAGTGCCTATATCGATTGAATGTGTTAAACTCTGTGGACTGCCCTTTAAGCTTTGCAAGGTTTGATGTTTGAGGCTTCTTATTCAGCCTATATTGTTACCCAATTAGGCATTGTATCTAGGTCTAGTACTCCAATCAGAATTGGAGTAGGTAATCTCTTCAACCTCATTTCCTTGGATATGCTTTGAAGAAAAAGCCAGAAGAGAGAATAGCGATACTCGGTAGTGAGCGATGACTTTCATTATAACTCTAAGGTTTGGTATATTTCACTCTGCGGCAACGCATTGGGTGAGACCGTGAGAATAGTGTTTAGCACTCGATGTTAGTTAAGGGTGCAACTGTTTTCAGATAGGCATCTTGCTTTGGTTGGTTGAAGGTCACATGATGGTAAGCTGTATGGATGCATGTCATTTGTTAAGAAATATGAGTGGATCCAGTGTGGAGATTGGAGAGGGGACTAGACTTTAACCCGTTGGTTAAACGGAAAATTACTATTAACCCCCTAACATTACAACAACATATTTCGATTCATGTGATGTGAATAAGTGATACTGTTGGTCGTCACGCGCCCAACATCATGTCATAATTATTAATGCAACTTTGCATTTTTAAAAATCAATTAGTTACCCCCTCAACTTTGATCATTCTCACTATATGCCCTCCTCATGTTAATATTTGTTAAATTAAATTTAATATAACTCTTAAAATCAATGAAATTTGTCTATAAAATTAATTTTAAAGTAAATTACAATTTTTTATAATAATTATAAATCATTGTTCTTGATCGTTATTTTTGTATTTAGCTACTCGATCGTGGAATAAATATTAATGAAAGTAGTTAAGATAGAAGACTCATGGGCTGGGTAATATTCATGAGATATATCAAAGTTGTTAGAAATATTGTGATCAAAATTCTAGACACCTTTTCATCAATATGAATATAAAAGTTTTGTTTGTAATTCATTCGGCTGAATTAATCTCAATGACATTTCTTTCGTGTGTAGCAAGAAGAAATTTCAAGAAAAAAGAATTTTATCAATCCATGTCCTAAAAGATTGGTCTAGTATTAATAACGAAAACTAAAAGTGTTCGATATAGGATCTCAATAATTGGAAGCTATCAAGTATCAATCTATCTAAACATAAAATATACTACGTATATAATAGTTTTTTATTTTTTTAATTAATTCTATTACTAATTTTTTATAATTTTTTATCCGCAAAAAGTTTATAATTAGTTTAATAAGATTAAATGATATCTGTTTTTAAAATTAAAAAAAAGATAAAAGTTCGTGATATTTTATATCTTACACGTGAGTCTTCTCTCTGAACTAAATTCATTGATATTTATTCCATGATCGAGTAGATTAGTAAAAAAACAACTATCAACAAAAATGACTTATAATTATGATATTAAATTGTGTTTTACTTTAAAATTTAATTTTATACACCATTCATTAAATTTAAGAGTTATATTGAATCTAATTTAACAAATACTAGCGTGAGGGGGCAAACCGTGAGAATGATAAAAACTCAGGGATTAAGTAATTGATTTTAAAAAATGCAAGGTTACATTAATAATTATAGCATAACCTTAGGGGGCTAATAATGATAAAAACTCAGGGCAAATTGATTTTAAAAAATGCAAGCTTACATTACACACCGGACTGTTGGCCTGTTTTTCAGGACGGTAAGTGGAACTTGGAACTAGTTCAACCTGAAGTACCGCTGGGGATCAGACTAGTTCAACCTAAAAATGGTTTGGTTTGACCAAACCAAACCGAACCAAAAATTGGTGGTTTGGTTTGGTATAGGTTTACTTAAGTAAACCGGTTGGTAGAAATTTTCTCCAACAGAATGGTTTGGTTTGGTTTGGTTTGGTTTAAAATCAAAAAACCGTAAACTGAACCGAACACTGAACAACTTGTAATATATATAAATACTTTGTATTTCTCTACACTCTTTATCTTTAGTATATAAATAATTTAGACATAAAAATACAAATTCAGCATATACTCCCTCCGTTTCTGAAACAAGTTCCACATTTGACTTCACACACATTAAGAAAATAAATTTAACTTTATTGTGGAGTGCACTGTTTGACACTGTTTGAACACTGTTAGGCATTTTTTGGACACTGTTTTGATGTAGATAATTTGCCAAATAAGAAAATGTTTGAAAGTGGAACTTAATTTTGAATCTGCCCGAAAAAGAAAGGTGGAACTTCTTTTCAAATCGGAGGGAGTATCATTTTCACTTTTACACAATCCATACATTCATTATGACAAGATTAACTAATATCCTATATTTGTATTTGTTATGTTTTGTATTCTACTTGTATATATGAAAAGATATTTGACGATAATAATAGCAAATTGCATTTATATTTTTTACATGATTCATTTGAATAAATGTGTGAATATTACAACATTTGCACCACTTACTCATTTAGTTTTCTTTGAATACTTTATGTGATATTATAAATGATAATCAATTATAAATTTATTTTTTGTAAGAAATGAATCTTTGTCCAGTGATTGAAAAGATGTTAGAAGTTTTAATTTATACGTAGTAATATTTTATTATTTCTTTTTCTATCTTTTATTTCCTTTTATATTTTATTTAAATAATAAAGGGAAAACAGTCAAATAGGTTCATGTACTTTGAACAAAAAGTCAATTGAGTTCACATATTTTTATCTAATCAATCAACACTAGTGGAAAATAGGGATTTAATAACGGTTAAAACAGACTTTTAACAACGGTTCTGAACCGTTATTGTATCAGCACATATTAAAAGTCCGATACTTTTAATAAGGGTTCATGTAACCGTTACGAAAGATATTCCATAACGGTTGACGCAGAACCGTTATTGAAACTTTCAATATCGATTAAATACTAACCGTTATTGTATGTCTTCTACATGGGGTTAAATGAACCCATACAAAATGTTTTCATGTACGTAAAACCTAATTTATTCTAGGTTATTTCTAAAATATAAAAAATTTACACATATCATAAAAAAACATTTATTATAACAACGAACACATACCATTAATCATAACTAACAAAAATCCACAATTCACATCGATATTGTGTTATTCCAATATAATTCAACAAAAAGTAATTTTGAGTTCACAACACTCGGCAAAAACTAAATATGAGTTCCCATTTCACAAGACTCAACAAAAACTAGCTGAGTTGACAACACATACTACTATTGATACTAATATGCTATAAAAATCATATCAAATGTTCGCAGCTTCGAAGAAAAATGACGCCCAACGCTCACGTGTCTCTTTGATATCTTGATCAGTGAATGAATCTTGAATGTTAATTGCCTATAAATTAAATAATGAAAGCCAATGAATAAATACAAAAAATTGAAGTAAAAGAAATAGCACCAATAACCACCCCTTTGCATTCGAGACTACAAATACACAAATAAGGGTATATTTTTATAACAGACAAGTCAATTACAAGTTCAATACAAAATTTGATCATTCAAGGCCATCATTTTCATTCGATGTTATCTTGGATCCAAGCGACCACATCGCCATGCCAGTCCTGGCCCATGATATCCATGACATTCTTACAGTGTAAAACAGAGCCCCATATTCACACATGCAACTCATTACCAAGCAAGAGAAAGGAAAAAAGGAAGGGGAAGTTCTCATTAATGTACACTATAAAGGAATGAGAAGTACTATTGCAGGCATCAAGAACTTACTGTATTGATCACAATGATGAGCCAACAACAGCCCAACATCAATAATCATCTTATCAAATTATCAAAACAAACAAACACTACCTACATGGAAGTAGCTAAGAGCTTGCCTAAAAAGGTTCTGGATGCCTATTCCATAATGCTCAGGTTATTAGAACCGTTCCAAAATCAGCAGCCAAAAGGACCTATTGTAGATTTGTAAGTTTAACCGCTTCGGTACTAAGATTATCAAACAAAAGGATTGTATGATGCATATGAAAATATAAGCTGTTTAGGTCTTGCTGTTCTACCAATATTAAGAAACTTTGTATTGTGAAATACACGACAAAAGAGCAATGCCAAAACTCAAATTATGAATTCATATTTAAAATATACCAATTTCAAGTTTTGGAGGAGTGGTATGAGGCCATATATTTGGTCCGCAATATGATAGATATCTAGACAGAGAAGAAAAAAATATTTAGGACATGAAAAAAATATAACCTTCAAAAATATCAAATTATGAAATACATAACTGCAGCAACTCAATGATGAAAAGCTAAGATTTCACAGATTTGTTTCATAGAAATTAATCAGAAAGCTAGTTAAGAGACTATAATATGGTCCCCATATGGATACGCTGAAAGTTAAAGAAAAGGTATTAACGGTTCAATAAGGTAATGTATGGCTCAGTTGATGGCATATCCAATACTGAATTTGCATAGGACCCTTTCAGTGTGTCTGCATAGACATGAACAAACAGCATTAACAGTTAAATATAAAGTTTCACCGAAAAACAGTAGAAACCATACATGATGTTTGTAAAGCAGGAAACCTGAGATGGATATAAATTTAAAGAAACTAAAATTATGTGTTTGTATGTGTGTAACAAACTAATAAAATTATGAGTTAAAATTAAAATCATTACTTCCCGAAAGCTTGTGTAGCTTTTCAAAAGTAGTTATATGACTAGATGGAAACAACTATCATTATACAAGCAGCATGGTAAATTTAGCCTTTACACATGAAAACCAAAAGAAACCCATTCACTAACACTACAGACCAATAAACCACAGAAAGGAAAAATGAAAGTTCATAGACTCATAGGATAAGTACGTTGAGCTAAAGCGTAGGCTTGGTCAGTTGACTAACCATTTGATTCAGAAACAGACTCAGGTTGAGGCTCTCTCTTCCCAGAAAGTCACATTGTTGTTTAAAATCGAGGCTGTAACAAGATCATTGGATGAAAACAAACAAATCCCAAGTACCACACCAGCCAGTGATTTGGAGTTGGGGGAATGGATCCTAGGGAATTCAAAACTGAAGTCGTCCTCATTTGAGGAAAGGTTTCGGTCAGGTCAGCGACATTGTTTAACTTTAATACAATTACCAATTTATTTGTTTAACTTTAAGGACTTTGTTAATGGACCGATTTTAGTCTTAGATCAAACCACAACAAGCCAAATTATGCGATTATGGCTCAAGTGACTGAATCTGCTATATTAGGAAAAATGATATTTAAATTATATGTTACTACCTCCGTTCCTATTTTATCTTCCAACCCACTTTGGCACACAATTTAAGAAAAGTGGGTATTGTGTGGTGGAGAGTTGTGCAGAGAAAAGAGAAATGTGTAAGAAATGTTGTGAACTACAAATTCTTTACCAAAAAAGGAAAGTGGAAATTTAATTGGAACGGACGAAAAAGGAAAGTTGGAAGTTTATTTAGGAACGGAGGGAGTATAAGATATGAAAAAGTCATATGAAAAAGTGGCTAAGATGATGCTCTTACGGTAACTTCAGTCATCTCGCCAAAAAAATGTTTTAAACTTGCTTATTTTAATTATTACAAATTTAGTGTGTGAATTCAAGAATTACGTGTTTCATGACCAAATTAGTTTATAAAACAGATAAGTTGAAATTCGGGGATACATACTGGCTTTGTAGTAGTATTTGTTATGAAAAAATTGGGCAATAGGATAACAATCGATGCGCATGTACAAAAAAGTGGTCATAATTTTATTTTCAAAAAAGTGGACAACTGGAGGAATCGATCGTTCGACCTCCGTACGCACAAAGCCTTGGAATTGAGCCTCCTACCATTGCTCTAGCTCCATAATTGTGTTCTTAGCTAGTTTTGATTGTATAAATACTTAATTCTTAATTCTATATAAAATATATACAAATATATATAGGTATTTTTTTGGAGGTTCATGGGGTCCCGGGATCCCGTGGGACCCTTAGTGGGTCCGCCACTGAGGGTAGTTCATAGACTCCAGGATTATGGGAACGTAAGCCCGGACACCTGGATTATAAAAAAAAATGAAAAAAATGTTAGTAAGACACATAAATTTTTCTATATGACATAGCAATTCATTTAAGAGAGATTGCTCCAAACTAGACATGCCCCAAAAGTTATCTCCTAAGTACTTCGTAGATAGAATGAAGCGTGGGTAAAGGAGCGCCAACAGAACCAAGCAGTTTTGTTTGAAAATGATGGTATTGTATTAACCTCAAATGCCGTGTGCGTTCTGCCAACGAGAGAAAGTTGTAAATCACTACTACCTCCTTCCCAGAATTTACTTCCGAAATAAAGTGGCACACGGATTAAGAAAGTGGGAATTGTGTGGTGGAGAGTTGTGCAGAGGAGAGAGAAATTCTGTGAACCACAAATTCTTTGCCAAAAAAGGAAAGAGAAGTTCTTTTTGGGACAGACGAAAAGGGAAAGTTGGAAGTAAATTATGGGACGGAGGGAGTATATAACTTTATATAAACAACTTTGCTAGAGTTGTCTGTGGATCGATAACTCGTCTGCTGGGAACAGACGTGTGTACACAGAATCCCGCTTCGTGTACACACCGGGTTACACGTCGGGTTACACGTCAGTCAAATTGTCTGTATACAGACAATTTGATCGGCTAGACAAACAATTTCATCGATGTTTTATGAAGAAAATCGATTCTCATACAGACAAAATATAAAGAGTTGATTTTAAACCTGAATTTTTCATAAAGTGTTTGTGATACAAACATTTTTTTAATTTTTGTCTGTGTGAAAATCGGTTTTCTTCGTAAATCGTCACTCAATATGTCTGTGTAGTCGATCAATTGTCTGTGTACAGATAATTTGACACGCGTGTAACCGGGTCCCTAAAACTTGGCTTGTACAAGAGCAATTTTCTGCTTGAAAAGGGAGGGAATAATTGGTGCGTCTCTTCGCGAGAAAACAGCTATGCATAGCGCACATGAAAACGGCCCGACTCTTTTGTCTCTAGCACCCAAACATGTAGGCGTGTCGGTTGGTGAGATGCTAGTGTGTGTAGGTAGCGCCACGCAAATCCACAGCCGTTAGATCACTCTCACTCCACACTGGTTTCAGTGCAATGTCGCACTCTATAAACGCTCACTGAATAAACGGATGTTGATGAAGAACCGCAAATGCAGGACCCTTTCTTGATCTGCCTTGCAATTCCTCACGCACATTCGGATTGCAGATCACAGTGAGCCCATGCATCAGAGAGGGAGAGTGAACAACCGCATATCCAGGACCTTTTCTCGATCTCGCCTTGCAATTGAGGGCCATTAGCTGCGCTTTCTTCTCATCATTCGCAACTGCCCGACCGCGTTTCAATTTTCTCTGGGATCTGCTCAATCGATCTCCAAAGCGTCAAATCTTCAACCTTTGATCTGTAACCATGGCTGGCGTTCCGCAAGGTGTGACCTTTGATCCTCAATCTTTCAATTTTCTGTTTTGGGTTTTGCTTCTTCTGTTTGTTTGTTCTGGGTTGTGATTTTATGTGATGTTTTCAGGACAAGAGCGAGAGATCCAGAAGAAATACTGGCTTGAGCACTCCTCTGATCTCACTGTGGAGGCCATGATGCTCGACTCTAAGGCTGCTGATCTCGACAAAGAAGAAAGACCTGAAGTATCATTCTCTTTCTTTACAATTTTAAAATAAACTCTATGAGCCCATCCGCCACACTAACATTTTCTCCATTTCCGTCCTGTTGCTGCTTGATACTTAAAACTTAAAACCTCACACACTGATATTGAGTTTTTGTGATCCTGATCATGTCCTTAAAAACTCTGCACATATCTGATATCCCCCCTTGTCACTGTCCTAAGTTCATTTAAACAAGTGGAGAAGTTTTAGGCTGCATGGCCAAGCCCGGCCTATCAAAGAAGGAACATATAGAGACGAATGACTTAATATTTTACAGCTTTGGTTAAAACTAAAATATGTTGACCCTTATACGGATGACTTAATATTTACTCGATCACAATTGCATTTTCCACATTTTTCTGTCACTTATAAGCTCTATTTTTGTTCCTGTGGGTCAAATGTAGTAAACCCCGTTACGGTTTTCTTTTTCAGGTGCTCTCACTCCTCCCGCCATATGATGGAAAATCAGTGTTGGAGCTAGGTGCTGGAATTGGGCGATTCACTGGAGAGTTGGCCAAAAAAGCAGGCCAACTTATTGCATTGGACTTCATTGAAAGTGCAATCAAGAAGGTATATGATATTTATTTTAAGGTTTAGCTTTGATTTTGCACATAATTGTCATTTTGTCGGCTGTTTTATGAGGTCTATTAGCATAACAAAATAATAAATTCTTCAAATGGAAATATAATAAAAAAGTTAATGTCCAAGAGGTCATGTAAAAGGGACCAGGATTTAAGGCTTGCAATGATTAGGCTTTTCTTCTTTCTTTAGTTCAGTTAATGGTTTATGTCTGCTTCCTTGTTTAGCTAGGATCCTTTACTTGTTTCCTAGAACATCAGCTATTGTATTTACATGAACTTCGGATGCTCTGCTTACCACCATGGAATCCAATGAGAAATTTAATGATAAAGTTAGTTAGTTTTGAAACCTTAAGCAAAACTTATTGCACCCTGGCTTTACGCTTTGCCTTCTTTCATTCCTTTAAACGCCTGAGATAGTGAAATGTGTATTGTGTATGATATTGTTCAGTTTCTGAACTCCAATCTGTGTTTGTTGGATGAAATATATGGGCATGCAAAAGGCCTTGTGATGTTTAATACAAATGCCCTTTTAGTTGATTTATATGTGAAAGCTAGTTCTGGAGATTTCACAATCACCTAATCTCCTCTAACCGCACTCAGCCTTGCCACTTGGTAGCCCATAGTGCAGCTTTCCATCAAGTAAATGTAAAAGTATTCTGCAAGCAACACGTGTTCTCACAACCCAGTAGTCCATTGAATATGTTCCTACTACATTTCTTTTTGAGGGTTTGCCAAAATCTGGCTGCTCCAAGGTATACATATATATGTGTGCATTGGAAGAGCCCCAGTACCTCTAGTTAGAGTGTTAGCATTATGTTTTGCACGTTAAAGTGGGGAGTTTTGGGATCTACCAAGTACAGTGGCACAGCCCCATGTGTCCTTGTTGCTCTTTGCATTCTTTCTTTCCTGCAAGAGCTTAGGATGCCTGCTACATGTCACTAGAAAATTGGTCATATACATTTCATTTGAACTTTCAGTGTTTTCTGCATGCAGAATGAAGCCACCAACGGGCACCATAAAAATGTCAAGTTTATGTGTGCTGATGTGACCTCTCCAGAGCTGAATTTCACCGACGAGTCACTGGACTTGATATTTTCAAACTGGTTACTGATGTATCTTTCTGACAGTGAGGTACTTTTTCCAGGTCCTGATAATAAATGTCTCTTTGAAGTTTATACTCCCTAACTTTGCCTGTACTTTTAAAACAGGTGAGTTTTTGTTTCAGAAGGAACACGTCATAGATGGGAATTGACCAGTAAAAAATGAATCATTATCCATATATGTGAATATATGATAATTACAAATAAGAGGGCATATAACTCGCATAGTAAAAGGGGCATGAACAATACATATATCGGTTATATAGCATTGTGATATTCATATTCTGTCACGTAATGTGTTCAGAGCAAGGGGTAACAAAATCATGTTTAGTACTTCAGTTACATGTAGTGTTCCAAAAAGACTAGGTGCTTGGTGAATAAAAGAATGGGGCCTAGCTCTGGTGCACGGTCAGGTGGAGCATATGTGGGGTCAATTAAAAATAAACTTAAAGAGTAGGCAACTATTGTGAACCTAGCGACTAGGGATGATTATTGGAACATGGGCTACCTGTGTGATGCAAAGTTCACAAAGATAGATTATTGTATTGACAATACAACAGAAAAAGGGAGTTTAATTAGCTCTAAACAAGTTACATGTATGCATATCTTTGTTTCCTATTAGGAATAGAAATGCTCAATTTCTTTGTTGATTGTAGCGATGTACCTTTCTCCATTTTCCTCAAACTTATCTGCTTGAATATCCTCATCATAAATAGTTGTTAAATTAAAAATGTTTGAATCATGCTCATCAACTGTCTTTGCCCTGCAGGTTGTGAATCTAGTAGAGAGAATGGTCAAATGGTTGAAAGTTGGTGGGTATATTTATTTCAGAGAGTCATGCTTCCATCAATCTGGAGACCACAAGAGAAAAAATAATCCAACTCATTATCGAGAACCTAGATATTATACCAAGGTGCCAAATTTATGCTCATCTTTTCTGTAACTCACTAACTTGCATTGAAATTTCAGAGATTTTTGTTTCTTCCTTCACCTCTGGTTACCATTATATCCTTCCAAAACCCATTCCGTTTGTGTTTTCTTTGATGGATCGACGGTACCTATAGATTTTCAAAGAATGCCATTTGAATGCTGCCAAAGGGAAATCATTTGAACTCTCCCTTATTGGGTGCAAGTGTATAGGAGCTTATGTGCGAAACAAGAAGAATCAGAATCAGGTGAGGTTTAAGTGCTTGTATATGTTATATGTGGCTTTGGATTTCATGATTTATTATTTTATTCAATCTGATAGAAACACGTGAATTCGTGCTTTGCAGATTTGTTGGACATGGCAGAAAGTTAGTTCAGAAGATGACAGGGGATTCCAAAAGTTCTTGGACACTGTCCAATATAAGTGCAGTGGCATTTTACGATATGAACGAGTCTTTGGGCAAGGCTTTGTGAGCACGGGAGGGCTTGGTATGGCTTATTTACCACACACACCTAAATTATTCGTAGTGACTCTTGCCTCTTGATTTGCCTCTCTGATCATCTCACTATTCTTGAGCAGAAACAACTAAAGAATTTGTCGCCAAATTGAATCTCCAGCCTGGACAAAAAGTCCTTGATGTTGGCTGTGGCATTGGTGGAGGTGACTTCTACATGGCTGAGAAGTATGATGTTCATGTTGTTGGCATTGACCTCTCTATCAATATGATCTCTTTCGCTCTTGAGCGTGCTATTGGTCTCAAATGTGCTGTTGAATTCGAGGTTGCTGATTGCACCAAGAAATCATACCCTGATGGCACATTTGATGTGATATACAGCCGTGACACCATTCTTCACATTCATGTATTATCTTGCACCATTTCATTTTCACTCCTATTAGCCTCTAACATTAAAATTTACTTGGCGTTATTTTATACTCCGTACTTTTTGAATATAGTTCCTCACACATGTATTTTAAGGGAGTGTTTTCACTTTTCAGGACAAACCTGCCCTTTTCAAGTCCTTCTACAGCTGGCTGAAGCCAGGGGGCGTAGTCCTAATTAGTGATTACTGCAGAAGAGCTGGAACCCCATCACAAGAATTTAGTGAATATATTAAGCAAAGGGGATATGATTTACATGATGTTGAAGCATACGGCCAGGTATCTCTACTCATTCATTGAATGGATCTTTTTGTTAAAATGACATATTTATCATTTTTTTAAAGAAGACAAAATTTCCTAAATAGAACCAAAATGAACACATGAAAACCATTCATTTTGTCTCAAAAGTATCATTCACTCCTGAAAGAAGAAATTTTAACAGCTTTTATTCTTTCTTTCATTAGGACTAAGCGCGGCCTATTTTGGTATTAAAACATCATGAGAGATTTCCCTAAATGAGACTAAAATAGAGTAAAATTGCACAAACAGGACTGTCATGTTTTATGGACCAAAATAAGACCAAAATTGTACTGATAGACCAAATTGTAATGAAGCAAGGCCCATGATCGCTGCACTTCCACTGACGATTTGCAGCAATGCCTCCATACTACCTACACCAATAATACCCTCTGCGCCATTCATCGCCACCAACACCATCGCCGTCACTTATCGGCGAGGACGCTACCGCTTCCACCGGCGAGACCGCCGATGTTATTCTCTTCCTCCGGTGAGAATAGTGCTATGGCGTCATCCGTCACTGTTAAGTTCTCCCCTGGAGGTGTCTCATCTGGAGAGCAAGTTATCAGTTTCAGGTGAAATTGCCATCATCATAACATCAAAGACAAAAATATGCCATTTTTAGATGCAGAAACATGTCATTTTGAGATTACAACATGACATTTTCAAAGACAAAAACATGTCATTTTTAGATGAAAAAACATGTCATTTTGAGATTACAACATGACATTTTCAGATAAAAAATCATGACATTCTCATGTCATAAAAATGTCATCATTTCTCAAAAATGTCAAAATCATTGCATTTTCAAACACATAATACTGCCATCTCCAAAAAATTGCCATCATATCTCCAAAAAATTGCCTATCATGTGGCATTTTTAGAAGGTGAATGACATGCATAATAAAAAAAACCATACCAATATAATATCGAAGGACAATTGACAGAGCCTCAAATTTCATATCCAGAAATCCCAAATCTAAAAAAATGAAAATTTGACCGGTTCTTTGTTGAAATCGAATCCTTCATATGGATTTTCAAAATCAATTTTTTTAGAATCTCATTGATAAAAATAAAAAAGCAGAGCACCAGGAACAAGATGATGATGAGGAGGAGGAGGAGAAGAAGAAGAAGAAGAGAAGATGAAGAAGAAGAAGAAGAAGAAGAAGGAGGAAGAAGAGGACCTACCTTGGATGAAATAGAAGCATACTCTTAGTTCCAGCGACAACAATGGAAAACCAGGTAGGGGAGGCGGTGCGGCTGGAGAGGCGAGGCGGCGGGACTGGAGACAAACTCGGTGATGGCTGAGAAACGATTGACGAAGGTGGAGGAAAAAATAGCGAAGAGGGAGAGAAGCTCGCTCAGACGCTCACTGCTCTCTAGACTTCAATAGCCGGCGATGGATTGGGGCTTTAATTATAATAAGGGCATAATGGTAATGTTTAGTCCTATTTAGGGAAAATTAAACATGAATTCCTATTTTGGAGTTTTAACTATGTTTTGATCCTATTTGGGGCAATTACTTAAACATAATTAGTCATATTTGTGAACTTGTTCCATGTTTTATTCCTGTTTGAAATTTCTTATACAAATAATAGTTAACCTCGTGACTTTTAACACTCAGCGACCGTAATAGCACCTGCTTAATGACTGGTGACTATATTGCTATTCAATTTTAAGCTGCATTGACCATATAGTCACATTTTTGCACATTAATTCTTTTGAGCAATATATATTATAGGGTGCCCTCCCCTCATCCCATTTTTGTTTCATGGTTTTTCATCTGGTAAACAGATGCTCAGGGATGCTGGGTTTAAAGACGTCATTGCTGAGGATCGAACTGTTCAGGTGATTGCCAAATAAGGAAGATCTGGCTTTTGATCATGATGGACTATGAACTAAAGATTCTCCCTTCTGTTTTACAGTTCATGGATGTACTTCAGGCGGAGTTAGGTTCCGTGGAGAAGGAAAAAGAAGCATTTATAGAAGACTTCTCTGAAGTGCGCTCACTCCCTAATTCGTTGCAGACCTTAATATAAGTCTACTATATCATTTTAACTTTCTACGTGGAACTAATCGGTGCACGCTATCTCATAATGAACATGCAGGAAGACTACAATGAAATAGTGGGAGGCTGGAAGGCAAAGCTGGTCAGGAGTTCTTCCGGCGAGCAGAGGTGGGGCTTGTTTGTTGCCAAGAAGTAATTATGTCCCAGCTGACATCAATGGTCAGCAGTTTGAGTTTTTCTTGATTGGTATTTTATTCGTTTCAATATGATGAACCCTGTCAGTGATCACAAAGGTTCAGTAATTTGTTTACCATAATAATGATACTCCTCAGTCTATGGAGGTATGGAACTGTGGGGGGTGGTGTTTTACGAGCTGGAACGTTATTACTGTGATTTTTGCTTTTACTGTCCTGTTGTGTTTTATTTTTTATGTTGTTGCCTTCTTGGATACATCATTCAGACTTCGAAGCTGTATAATATTCATTATAGATGCAACATTTGTGACAAAACTCTTTCTACCGCAAATATTGTATAATGTTTCGTATATTTCTTCGGCAACAAATGCTTTATACTGACGATTGTATCAACATTTGTTATTTCATGTGCATTTGTTAATAGGTAGTACTTTCAGGTCTATATGTTTAAATTCATTAAAAAGAAAAATATTTTTTGCATCATTCACCTTAATTAGGTATTATTGATTTAGTGATATACCATGTACGTAGTATATCTTTGCGGTGTTCACTCTCTTCAATCAATAGCAAAAATGTGTAAAATAGGAGTAAAAATGTTTCACACATAGCTTAATTAGGCATTATTTCGGAAAATTTCTGAAATAGGTGTAAAAATGTTTGAAAATTCCAAAATATAACTGCCATGTTTTTTACTCCCAAAATAGGAGTAATTGCTGGCAAGTTTAAAATCTGGTGCTGCCAAAACATGACAGTGATAACTAATTAGTCATATTTTGGGAATAAAAATATAATAGTCCTATTTTAGATTTTTAGAATATACAAACGTTTTAGTCTTATTTAGGATAATTTTCCACTAACAATTGTCATAACAATATTCCACCTGTATTTGTTTGTTGAGCTTTTGGAATTATTGTTGAAAGAAAGCTTTAGGTTTGAGAGAATTGTAAAAGAAAAATAAAGAATGTACTTTGGATAGAAAGAAGAAGAGGGAGAGAAACTGAGAAAGGGAAACGTTATTTTGCATAGACAAAATAAGACTTACTTTGTCTGTGAACAAGACTCACGGATCAAAAAAACTTTCACAAACATGGTGGTGAGTATAAGGTTTACAAGAGTGAGTACAACAAGAATGATTGAATAAAGGTTACCCCTTTCACGTTCTTAATTTACCCAACCTATGTATTATATTTCAAACAATTACCAACCAATTTTGTGGCACAACATGTAGTGTTCGACATGATCCTAATTCAAAACTGAAATCTTTACCATTTTATAGTATGAACAATAATGAGAATTCTAAGGCAAAATAAAAATTGGTGCAAGGATGATTCTTTTATAATCCAAATCATTTCTTTCTTTCAGAAAATCAAATATTATAATTTAGAATTGTCTTAAAGGATTCTCAACTAGACTTACAATCCATAGATGTCCATTGCTTCAAACGAATATTGAAATGATCTATTTCCGGTTAAAAATAGTAATCTGAATGGACTAGACAGAATGAGCCAATGATACACCCAACCCATTCCAATAATCCAATTCATGCGGTAGTGCCCGTTTCAGAAAACATATGAGGCCGCCGCCACTAGTAATGAGGTTTTTTTCATACAGTCACAATTTGAGCAATGTGCAATATTTACAAGGTTGTTTTAGATGATGTTTGAGATCGCTATATTAAAAATAGATCGTGGGTGCATAATAAATGAAAAAATTTCACTTTTGGTCCCGTGACTATTATACCACTTCCACATTTAGTCTCTTACTTTCAGATTGTTCACATTTAGTCCGTGACCATTATCCCCTCACCGCCCCTCGTTCTTCCGGCCAAAATTTTGTCAAATTTAATGCAGATTTTAGGTATGAAAAATCAAATTTAATGCAAAGACTTATATGAAAAACCCAACCTTATATAAAATTTAATGCAAAGATTGATTCTGAGGCTGATAAGTGGACTAAATTTGTCGGAATTTTGGCCTGAAGGACAAGGGGTGGTGAGGGGATAATAGTCACAGACTAAATGTGGACAATCTGAAAGTAAGGGATTAAATGTGGAAGTGATATAATAGTCATAGGACCAAAAGTGGAATTTTTTCCATAATAAATTATTTTTTGGATAGACTCACACTTCGATTATAGTACTAGTTTAACAACGCGTGTTGTGCGTTCGTGGTAATGCCCAAAGCCATTGTAGAAACATTAATTCCTCGATTTAGGTTGAGTGAATATATGAGTAATATGAATAGAATATTCGAATACATAGTTTGTTATTTATGACTCGAATAAAAATATTACTGATAGAGTATATCTAGAGAGAAGTGCAATAATATGCTTCAATAGAATGAATTTGTGACCCCTATAACTACTCCCAAGGGGAGTATTTATAGAGAAAATACGGGCTGAGCTCCCAAGCCTTGGGCTTGGGAGGCCCATTTACAACTGGACCGCTACTGGGCTGAATACAAAGCCACTAATGGGCTGTACAAATGAGTAAGTATAGAATCCGATTCTGTGGGGTCTTCGTGGCCGACGAGGGCGCGGCCGACGAGGGCACGGCCGACGAGGGCACGGCCGACGAGGGCACCCAGGTTCCTTGGCTTCAGGACCATAATCTGAGTTGGCACCTTCTCGGCCGACGGGGGTCCCTTGGCCGACGTTGACGCCACTCGGTGTCTTGTGCTTTCTGTTCCTCTGAGTATGTGGGTCCGGGGGCTCAGACTCATATACTCCATCAGGAGTCCCCCACTCTCTGAGCTGAGACGTAGACAAAGTGAAGGAGAGTAGATTCCCGTGCTTTGGTGCTTTTGGCCGATTCCTGCTCCTCGCTGTGGACGGGGAGGCCGTTGTTTCCTTGATGTGTTCGTTTGGGGACGATGAGTGTCCTGCTTCGATGGTGGCCGTTGAAGGCACGTTTTCCCTTTCTTGGACGTTGATGGTTGAGGTTTGCATTCGGGCCGATGAGGCTGTTGAGGTTGAACCTTGCTTTGAGGACGATGGTGTCCTTTCCTTTGGGTGGCCGGTAAGGGTGCTTGCGCACTCTTTTTGGCCGCCGCTGACTGGCTTTCGTGTCCCTGGCCGAAGAGCCCATTATGGTTAACTGTTGGCAGAGGACGATGAATGTCCTTGCCTTAGGTGGCCTGTTGGCCGTTGCTGATGATGTTATGTGCCTTTGGCCGACGAGGCGCCGTTGTGATACATGGACGTTGTGGCCATGCTTTGTGGTTACATTCGTGTTTGTTTTTTTCCTTTTGTTTTGTTGAGGCCGATGTAGTCCCCCAGTCCCCCACTGCTTCAGGCCGAAGAGAGTGAGGGGTGAAGGAGTTGCTTGAGTCCCTGGCCGAAGCGGCCTCTCCGTAGTGCCCCTGAATCCAACCCTCATGGCGATTTTCTGGCCAAGGTAACCCTGTGGGAGAACCCTTGTGCGCAGATCGCTTGTAAAGAGTTATCATCAAGGGTCGTTACGAGGAGCCGATGGTTGTGGGTTCTTTGTTCCTTTGGTTCTCTGGCCGTTACGGGCGTTCATTACGTTCCTGGCCGTTGTCATCTCCTTATTGTTGGCATTTGTGAACTTGGCAGGCAAATAGGCCGTTGTGGGCGCTTGCTGGCACTTGTGAAGCCGGCAAGCGTATAGGCCGTAGAGTCCGTTTTGCGAGTGGGCTCTTGATGTGTAGGCTGGGCTTGGCCCATTGGTGACGTGGTAGCCTCCCATTGGTGGCCGTTGATGTGACCATTGGGAGGGTGCCACGTGTAGTGACCGTTGGGTGGGGGGTTCTATAAATACCCCTCCCCCTCCGACGAAAAACCTCATTTGCAATCTGAGTTGTCGAAGTGCTGGCCAATTTTCTAGAGAGATAAACTCCCAAGCTCGTGTTCTTCGTGTTCAAGGTTAGTGTTCATCGCAATCTTCTGTACTTTGCATACTTTGCTTCCTAGGCTAGTGATCTAGTGTTAGGCGCTTGAACACCCTTAGATCCTTAGTTATTCCCCTTAGGCTCGTAGTAGTTGTTATGATGAAGAGCTTAAACGAAGACTACTATCCGTACGACGACCAGCCCTCCACTAGGTCACTCGACTATGAGGTGCTTGAGGAGTTCGAGGAGGAGATACAACACTTAAGTCCTTACAAGTCCGGAGAGCCGGTGGACGACGAAGTTGAGGACGAGGAGTCCGCCTCATCTTCAAAAGGTGAGGACGCAGGTGCGTCCCGAGTGGTGGACGGGGCGTCCACTTCCGCTGTTATTCCATGCCCGAGACCGGTGTCTGCCGTGAAGGGAGCAGATAAGCCGAAGAGAATAAGGAGGCCGAAGAGTGGGCCGGGCATCTTTTACCTGGATCTCACAAACATCTTCCTGATCAAGCCGGAGAGCAGCGCGGCCGACTACTTGGTTGCCCAGATGTACGTGGGGTCGTTCGGGCGGGTTAGGACACCCAGGCCGACGGACCATGTTCTTCATCCGCCACCGGGATACTTTGGAGTATACCCGATGAGTTTCGCCAAGGGGCTGAGGTTTCCCCTTCATCCCTTCATCACCGAATACCTTGACATGGTAGGGCTCCCTCCGGCCTTGCTGACGCCGAACAGCTACTCATTGATGGTGGGGTTTTTGCTCCGCTGTGAGGAGCTGGGCTACAGGCTGACGACGGCTCTGTTCATGAATCTGTATCAGATAGGCCGAGGAAGCCACAAAAATTGTGCGGCCTATGCTACTCTCCAACAGCTGCCGAAGAAGAGGAGCTTCACGGACTTGCCTTCGTCCATTCATGGGTGGAAGAGCAAGTTCGTTTTTGTATCCCTTGGTGAGAATGGCACCGAGTTTCCCTCTCTCGGCCATACCGGGAAGTTCAATCTGCACGACCCGCCGAAGAGTTCTATCTTGGACGCTCAGGTGGAGGCGTTCTTGGAAGGGGGGCCGAGGAGCGTGAAGGATTATATCACCGAATACAAGATGACCGCCCTCAGCTTCTTAAGATATCATGTATATGGCGACAAGGAGGATGATATCCAACTTTGGCCGAGGATGACCACTACCTTCGAAGAGGCCGACGGCCCGGATTTGGGCATTCCTGCTGAGGCCGATGGTAATTATTTCTTCGGCTTTCTTCCTTTATAATTTGTTCTTTTGCCTTGCTAATCTGTTCGTTTTCCTTTGTGTAGATTTTGTCATGGATCGCCGTTCAATTATGGCTATAGCCAAGGCCAAGGCGGCCGAGGAGTTGGCTGCAAAGGCGGCCGAGGCGGCCAGGCGTGCCGCGGCCGAGGGAGGCGGGGCTACTGCTGGTGCGGCCCCGAAACCTGCCCAGTCCAAGAAGAAAATGCCTCCCACTGACGGCCAGAAGAAATTGACTGAGACCGGCCTGAACGTCACCAAGAAGACGAAGAGGGCACCGTCTCCTTCACATGCTACTGAGGCCGGCACTCTGACCGTCCCAAGTGTGGACGATA